AAGCATCATTTTTTTGTTGGCGTCAGTCTTACTGCAGATTGTTAAGTACATTTTTTGATCGACTTTTTGTTATTTGATGATGATCAATTACTTTAGAAATGGCTCAATTCCTACATTTCAATAGAGTTTCGTAAATAAAATTAAGTTCGTGTAGCTCCGAAACATCGAGCAAATTGTTCAATAGTTAGCTTCCTTTAAATAGTTCAAAACTTTTTTGTAGTAAGTTTTTTGGCTACCCATGGGGTCAGCCTTGCTCTACTTTGACAATAATTTCTTCAGTGATTGCTTCGCCATTACGAGGAACACCTTTCACAATGAATTTGCCAGAACTGATGCAACAAAACCTTATTTTTTTTTTATAATAATCCATCTTGACCATAAACAGCTCACACTTTTTCTGGGCCTAGACAACATTTCTGGTTTTACTGCAGTGAAATTGTCAAATGTGACGATTACTGACTGACATCTAACGCATCATCAAGGCGCACTATCCTATGTAGTCCTTCAAGAAACTATAGCCAATCTGCTACTGTCAAATTTCAGCGTCAAAATGACGCCAAGCCAACCCGACACGGACTCGTAAGATATGTAATCACTTTGCTAGGAGAACGGTCAATATTTTTGCGCCAAGCCGATATACCTATTACCCTGATCCACCACCCCGTTACCTTGGTACAATTGTACACCCGATTAAACGCTGCGCCATAGTCACCCAATTAAACTTAGCTCGTCCTTTTTTTTATTAGATTAATCCAATTTCGTTAGACCACTGTTGCGTTTTCCTAGGAGGAGCAATTTGCACCATCCGGTATGGACCATGTTCTCTAAAAAAAAATTACTCAGACATAATAACATAATAAACCCCAACAGATTTTATTACGCTTGTACACGTAAACTTGCTACGCGGCTGCTAGTCTAGCCCTTACCTGGCTATGTAAAGCTACTGTTCCATTGAAACGTTCTTATAATACCGATAGTACACTGAGCCATCTCGTTCTCCTAACATGTTTAGTCTGCTTGGCAATTTTGGCATCGATATACACTAATCGTTCTCAATAACGGCCGCAAAAATCATTCATTGCTCTTTTGTTCCACAAAGTTTAACGATCAACTTTGTGTTTGTGAATGGCGTAAAACCTGAAAATCAACTTTACGATATAAACCACAATTGCCTAGTAGAGTAAGACCTAAATTATTAAGAAACTACCCTACTTTGAAAGAATACGGTCAACCAAAACTTTGTCAGCCCAAAAATCAGGTTAAAGCAACTTTACGTGGGGCGGATTAATGGACAGATCAACGGTCAAACACTGGAACATGAACGGCCGCCGATCCTTGGAAATAATATATGAACAGGTGGAATAGATAAATGTACCAGCACGAGTTCGAGCTATTTTACCTGTACAGCAATGTAGCCTGTTAGTGCCATTTTTCTAAGAAGCGAAGCCCAGGTATTGCTTTAAAGGTCTTTAAAGGGACAGCTGGGAAGGCAAAATAGAGTTATGGGTTCGTTGTTGTGTGTGCCTGAAAACCGGAGTGCAGAAATATATTAATTGTTGTAATAACTGTAAATTAAAAAACAGGCTCATATAAGTAGATAAATCTGTAGTGTTCATTAAATCTCCTTCTTCCATGTTCATTGATGAGCATGAGAACCATTGTATGAACCTTTTATGTGATCTATATGATACAGTACAACAAGAAGGCATGAATTTAAGGTCCCATGAGTGTCCTCGCTTGTTTGTCCTTGATAACTGTTGCGAAACTCAGATTCAAAGCTGCTGTTAGGTAGAATTAGTTATTAGTTATTGAGAAAAACTAGGTCGTTTACTTTGAAGAGGAAAATGCTTTCATCTTTCAATGTGACCATTGCACACAATGCTTGTAAACAGTCGGTAGGAACTATTTCTATTTAATGTCCCCCTGAATAAGCCCCACATCTGTTTGTTCAACAATTGCTATTTAATAATTAATATAACATTTAATTTTGTATAGGATACTTTTTGTACATTTGCGTGCATCGACAAACTTCCGGCACTGTTAGAGGTAGAACTTGAACTTTCATCCCATTTCTATCGATGATTAGGTCGTCCGAGTGTTGATCGCGACCTATGATCGCATAGTGCACGCCGGACGGCTTTTAAATTGTTCTGAAGATTAAACTTGTGCTTACAGATGCTCGCAAATTTGTATATATTAAGGTAAAGTAAAATAATGTGTAACCATAATGAACTGCAGAAACAATGATACCTAACGAATATAGCCTAGTAATTACCATTGATATATGTGCAAACACCAAATGCTTTAGAAAAGAGCGATAGCATTTTGAAAGGCATGTGAATCGTTGTGTAGATACGTCTGTGCCGGTACAAACAGATGTGGACAATGTATTGGCGGTCCTAAAACAGTTACTCTACGAAACTTACTAATACAATCAAACGAAAAGTCTTCTCCAGAACACACAAATTCTGGCACGAAGGTGGCGGACCTTAACTTCCGTCATAACCCTTTATAGGAGTCATTTGTTCTACCCCTTAGAAACTCACGCTCTGGGAACAAACATGCCCTGCTACGACTGCCCAACGGTCGCGACTCGCTACATAACGTTATTTCACTGACATTCGTCGGTTCTTCTTTCCAGACGAAATCTTATTAATGGTGGTATTTATTTCTAAAGCCAAGCATGTACCGTTCAGTTAACGCTTCTTTTTTTCCTCTATATCTGCTAACGGATCCTGTGTTTTATGTGTGTAAATGCTGCTCTTCGGGTCTGCTATTGTATAAGATATGTTCGCTTTTGATACGCAAGTGAGAAAGCTTGAGCCTGGCTCCTTTCGAACGGGGCTCTTCTAATAAACTTTATCTGAAACGACAAGCTATCTCTATCGGTGAACAGCTGTCGGTATTGCCTTTAACCTATAAGAGCGTGGTATCGTATTGTTAAAAATGTATCAACAACGGCAAAAATTAAAATCTGCTTGTATTATAGCTTAGCTCGGTGAAAAATCGAGCTTGATAGTGGCAATTGTTATGCGTTTATGGACAAATGGGGCAACGCTGAAAGCCGTCGTAAACTGCCTCTTGGGGACACGTTATTGTTGTCAATAGAAAATTCATGCTTCAGGATCAACATAACATTCCGTGTCGATAATACGAAGTTCGTACGAAATGAGCAATTTCTCCATGACACTTATAGTAAATAGCAGCCTTCAAAGTCGAGCTAATATTTTTAGGAAATTGCGATAACGTACTGATAGTAAAATTCTTTTAATTATTAATAAGAAAATTATTTTAAAAAACAAAAATGATCAGTCAGCAACGTGACAATCTAACAACACAGATACGCATATCGTTTGAGCTACTTCACCACGACGATGCGATTATTTCTTAATGCGACCTTTACCCATATGAACACCTTTATAATTCTATATGCTTCTATGACAAGCTCAAGTGAAGTGTCCAGGCCCTCTATAGATACGTACACGTAAAAGTACCAGTTCTACATTAACATTTGAGGCAAACATGAAAATTTGTCCTATTCCTATAGTGAAATAACGAGTACACGATGCATCGATACTAATAGACGAGCAATTTTTTTCGACGAACGAAAGATTTACCAGCAGCATCTGTTGTACATAGAAAGTACATTAACCTGCAGTAGGACTAGCCCTAAAGTTTGATTACGGTGAGATTTGAGACACAGAAGAGGGCAAACGTGATACTGAGATTTTCCAGTATCCAACACTAGACAATCATAATAATATTACAAGTTAGGAACATTCCCTCAATTGAATCTTTGATCTCCGTCGTTGCAACAAGCGATCTATTTTTACGTCTAATAAAAATAGAATTCCTTGCACAGGAAAGCGTGCGGGGCGCACTAACATAGTCGATTTCCGCTAGTTCAGAACGTCGAGTGCCACTTTTATGTGCCACATCGTTTAAATTTGTTGCTAGATCCAATCTTCATTTGTTACGGCATAAATTTAGATTTTTAGCGCTCTCAAATGAGATAGTTCTTCGCTTACTATCCTAGCCATTCATTGGCAAAAGCGGTTCACTTCAGTTTTTCTCTACGCTTAGTTAATGGCGATTAAAAGGGGGTGCGTGTGATCTGTTGGCCACGCTGTACAATCTCAATAGAAACAACAGACCCAAGCGATATTTTAACATCTTTTTGAATTACCTTTGTCTAAAGGGCAATTTCGGTTAAAACAATGTGAACATTGAAAATGTAAGACTTTAATTTGTGTATGGCATTGAAGCTCATTTGAAGTATCGAAGGGTAATTTCAGAGTAAATGGCCGTTATAAATCTTTAAAACTTCGCTACGGCGCAACGCTGAACATGCGTAAAGAAGAACGATTTAAAATGCGAGAGGCTTTAGTGGAAACCTTTTCAGGCGCCGCCATCAGGCGGCATACGAAGATCGCCTAAATTAATGATCGAAATTTTGTCACGTAGATTACTTTAAATATTTAATATATAATAGTTTCATATGTCCTTAGAATCCTTGTATGTGGTGTCTCGCGTGAAAAATGCAAGCTGTCAAATAGAGCGGCTTCTTTAAGATGCTCAGAACAGTTATTTTCTAATATGAGGAAAAATTGGAAACTACAAATGTAACTGCAAACGTTTTCTAATTGTAAGCTTACTTTCTTCCCATAATGCAAGCTTAATTTCATCATTGATATAAATTACCCTATGGCCATTTCTGTATTAAAAGCTTTTTTAAAGGTTTTTATTTCTTTGTATAGAAACCTGATCTAATTTGTTTCGATGTTGGCCCACCGATTTCGTTATCCATATCTATTCAAATACATAAATAACACGTCAGGTTCGCTGCTACCGCGTCTACTACTATTTAGCAAGTATATGGTGTTTATCGAAACGTTCGGACCGCACGTATGTAATGAGGCACTTGTAAACCCGTAAAATTTACTGCGGTCATAAGAGTGACTACGTTCTATGGGCATAGCGATGACAAACCTCATTTCAGCGTATCTGCCTTCCGATTATATTCTGTTTACATCAGTTCGACAAGGCACTATTTCATGAACCACTTCTCATCTGTTTTAGTTGGCCCTGAGCTTAGCGCCTACCTAGAGAACGGCCTATGGCCAACGGCTAGGTTAGTGTGGTTTTTATCTATACAAGCTCACTTTGACTCAGTTACCTTTACGAAAATGTGTGTACTTTGCTTTACTGACCGAGTGAATTTTACTGCTCGAGCTGAAAAATTAGGTTTGTTCTATAGTAACTTGACATAACCCCAGGTAATCTCATAAGTAGTTCCATGAGCTGTTTCTCTGACTGCAATGAGCCGCTTCGATCGTATTACTAATACAAAATTAATTTTATTCAATTCTGCGCTTCACAATATCAACCTTAAGAGGCAGTTCCTCGTTCTCATCGGTATAAGGCGTACTCAGCAGTCGCGTTTACTTCATTTGCATAGTGTAAAACGTATACGGGGATACCATGATTCAGCAAAATACAGTACCTTAGACGAATACCCGCCACAAATTTATCTAGCATGAATTTGTTGTAATTCTCCTCTGCCTTGTTTAAGCTCTCAGTCAATTTATTGACTCCTTCTGGCTAGCCTATTCCAAGGTAGTAACGAAATCGTCCAGCCAATTTTTGAAACGTTCTTCACTATGAAATCTACACTTAAGCCTTAAAGTTGCCAGTGACTGAAAAGGTGGCCCTGCGTCAGCGCGGAAGCTAGACTACCTGGTGGCGTCTTTATAAGATCAGGACCGCTTTACCTACCTTTTCCAGGCGTGGTTTGGTACTGCTGTGGAGAACGATGACTTTCCTTTGTCCATCGGGCCTTTTCCGTTGGGCAGTCTCGTTCAGTCGGTGTAACTGGTTGTTGTTAACTTTTGGGCTTAGGCCCATCTCCCGTAGCTATCCGTCCGTTCCGCTGCTTCATACCGACGTGAAGGCACCACTGTCTGTCACCCGCAACAATTCTTTATACAAATCTATCAATGTGTCCGCGTGTTGTCAGATGTCGGTTGCGGCGTCGAGGGGTCGATGACGAGCTGTATGTTTTTAAGCACTTTCCTTCATTTATGACGCACGCATGCTTCTAATTTCTCATAAAAGACCATACATTTAATATGATAAATAGTTGTCATCTTTTTTTTTGCCCAATCTTTTTGACCAATTGACGAGTTCCTCATCTATATTGGATTGCCGGCAGGGATAGGTGTACGTCCTCCAGATCGAAAATTCCATCTTTGAACTAAGTAGAGCGTAGATGCCCATGCTTGCGACCCCGCGTGGGTTTAAGCTTTTTTGCTAAATCTTGGCCCAGTGGAGCCGTACGCATTTTTCCACTAATCGACGTATGTCCCTAACGGTTGTACTAAAGCCTGCCTATCTAAATAAAGACCGAAATTATTCTGAATATGGGCTTACTACAGGCGTAAATTGATGTGCATTATTTTAGAAAATGATGTTGACCTTATCAGTGAATAGTAACCCGGCTGTTCGGGGCTTTAGAGCTATTACACGTCAGACGCATATAACCTTCACATTCACAAACGAAATGCGTTGATGAAGGATGGATAGAGCTGCAAATATGGCGGCCACTTATTTGTAAATTCTGAACGGTCATTTTTAGAAAAGGCGGTTGCCTAAACAAATGATCACTCAGCCTCGGTGGATTAAAAGTCCGTTAGATCGTCTATTAGTACAAAAATACTTACTTAATGCTATCGTATATATACTTAAAGCCAGCAATCAATGAGATATCAGGGTCATGTTTGGGTTTGCTTCAACTATCTGCATTTTGTAGGAGACAGCTCCTCCATATATTTATAGAACGATAAAACAAGACACCTTGTGTTCGTATAAGTAAGTTAGTGCAAAGGCAGATGTGAATTAGAAGTCGACGTTTTCTTGACTAATCAATAGTAGCTTATCGAGCAAAACCACCATTAATGTACTTTGCCGAGACGGATCACATTTGAAACTTTGCGGGTCTCGTCGGCAAATGATGCTTATCTTCTAAACCGGGCTTGACTCATCATCGGATTCCAATGTCGTAAAACGGGCTCCATGAGAGACCCCAAGTGAAAACATGAAATCTTTTTTCAGAAATCTCTAATAATCGGAATTTCGTTTGTCATGACAATACCTAATATACGATATATAATATATAATAGACGATATATAATAACATATATTTGAAAATTAGCTGCTGTATCGCTGCGCTATTCCAGCTCCGTGATTCAAGCGGTTTCATACGGGCGTACGACAAATCCTCTTAATCCTTTATTACAAATACCTTCGATTTACTATCTTCGATATTATAATAGGTAGTGAATAAGCGTAGTGCCATTATTAATCACTGACACCACTCAACCGTAGATTTCACTCATTGACGACTGTTGTCGTTTTGGTAACAGTTTCATATCTGAAAAAACTCTACGGGCTTTGTGAAGCAATAAATGGTAAATATTGCAGACACGGCCAACGCAGCACAGATAACGCCAGCGATGAGCTGGTCTTTTTTTGCCAGAATATCGAACCCGGATGGGTCTTTTGAGGGAAAAAGAAGGCTTTGAGCACAGTCTGCTGCTGATTCGACGGTCCCCCACTCACTATCTTCGACGTCGCTTAGCTCATCTTTGGAATCACAGAGCGATCGTGATGACATCGGCAAGTGAACGTGTCCTGAATTAGTCAATAGCGACACTCCCCCGATGGCCGCCCGAACACCGGTTTGCTCCGCTGATATCGTCTGCGGTGCGACGTTCCTAGACACACTCTTCACCGATGAATTCCCCAACCACCCAAAGAAGAACGTGGTAAAGCAGCGGACGAAATGCGGAAAACGAGTGCGCCAAAAGCTAACGGAATGAAACGAAGGCAAAGAGAAAGAGTAAGTAAAGGCAACCTCGTACTCCTATTACTTTTCTATCGTAAGTTATCAGTGGGCGCTTTTTTGCTACCCCGCTCACTATTTTGTCCCATTGGCCCATCACCCCCGGCGCTAGGTTCCTCGGGTCGTCGTTGTATATATTACCTGTGGATTATGTCGCTATCTCTGTAGCTTGAATATCCCCATTAAATGGATACAACAAGGAGGGATTTTCAATTGCAAAATATTTACACAGGTAGGTAACTATTCGTGAACTTGTCAGAAGTGCGTGGAATGCGTGACGAGTGCTTCATTATATGATTATTATGGATTCTACGTAATGCCCGAATGTACGTTTTACCCGAATTCAAACATTATCAAACTTGATAATTCGAGTGTTAACCGAAGAATCCAGTTACCATAATTGTTCGGGAACCCTTCAAGTGCGCAAATTTTTTAAGTTCCCGATGTAACGATGATTGATTACTCAACGGCGGATCTGCAATTAAAAACACTTATTTTTTAAGATAATGAATAAAAAGGTAACGTGTGTCGGCGTGTTAGCTAAGGCACCAAGTGCGGCGACGAATGACATTGGATCATAATCATATATTTCACTCGAATTCACAAATTAAAAATATAAACACATTATTTTTCCTACTTCTTGTTAGCACAATAACCGCAAGGTGTAGCTAAGAGTGTATTTTTTATGCGTAGAGACGGCATGTTTGTCTCAATGTTGCTATATCTGCGAGGTCGGCACTTCATATTCGACATGTTTACGCAACAGATTAACCTCACATATGGAACAATCGATGGAAGGAATCGCGCCGCGGGCGCATCTTCAGCAATCTTCCCACGTAGACTCGGGGGTTGGATGTTTAAGCAACTTAATGCTGGGAGAGGAACTTTACCTTTGCAAGAATTGTAACCCGTGGAAGCGTCTAACTAGACACTTTCAGGTCAAATGCTGCAGACGGTGAATGAAATGGAAATCCCTTTTGCCCGTGAAGCCTAACCGTGACTAAATTATTGTTCTTAGCTGCAGAAGTTCAAAACAATAAAATATGGCAGCCAGATCGCCCAGAAGACAGCACAGGTTATCGTGACTGTAAAAGATTTGTGTCATATTTTCGTAGTTGTTGACCGCAAGAAAACAATATGTTAGGGAATAACTTTAACCGAAAGAGTATCAAATAAACAAAAGGAAACCCAATGTTGCGGATGTTTAGTATAACTTAATTCCATTCGCTGGTTCTTCACAGAGGTGTTCTAGTCGATATGTTAAAAGCAGGTAGGGCGTATTTCTGATAGCCATGGCCAGGTTTGCCCCATGCTCAGAAAGTTATCGCAAAGAATAGTATATTGTAATCAAATGGACAAGCCAATTTTCTAGTGTCACATCAGCTTTGCGCAACATTATACATTCTGTTTTTTTTTTGTTAATAGTACTTTTGTACGCATGCGGCCTTACACGAAATTTGCTTCTTGTTATCGAGCTTGGAGTATCCACTTTATTTTCCTATCGATCCACACACATTTACGAATGTCGATCCATCTTAGGCGGACACTCAGAACTTTGCTTTTAGTTACTGAACAGCCGTTAGGATGCCTAATTCAGACAGATCGATGCATTGGGCCATTTTGAATTATGAACTTTAGTAATCTTCATTTAAAAATGACGCAAATTAACAGGTCCAGAAGTGCGTCTGTTTCGAACGCTTCCTATAGAAGTGTAAAAGTCACTTTATGAACACATTATGGTATAATTAGAAGGCCTAACGGCTCCTTGGGAGAATAACCAAGGTTTAACACCGGGTTCAAAGGTAACAGGTCATGCCATCTATTTTTATTCTTTGCTTTGTGGATGCATGCACATTGATAGTTACATTTAATTGAAAACTAACGAGGAAAAGAAAGAATCCAGAAAAGCTGTAGCTTATAAACCATCAAAATGTGGAGCTGTCGATAGAATTGTATGTTTTTTTTTTTAAATTTATTCTTATTTACACTTTAGCAATAACTGTCCTTCTTATTTTTAGAATGAGCGCCATTATCTAAATATCTATTTGCAGAATACAAAAGAAAATGAGGTTGCACAAAAGTTACGTTTGCCCAACTTCCCATAGTGCTGAACCCTGTATGAAAAATACTATTATTAACTAGGCATTTAAAGTAAGAGCATGTACAGTCATTATCGACTATAGGACGCGAATTAGGGAAATATCAGAGAAATGTTAATTTTTCGAGTAGAAAGCAGGTTCTATGTTACATGATATATATATTAAACAACGCTCTAGCTTGACTAGCGCGCGTAGCACATCGGGAAATGGCCGGATTGACTATGATCACCTATGAATGCGCCCCTTCCTTTAGGAGTGTTTACCTGCTCAAAATGGGTCTAGTCCGTAAGTGACGCCCTTTTGTGCAAACAATAACGTCCTGTTCGGCGACTCTTTCTGGTTCGATGGTAGAGATGATGAAGTTTTTCCCGGCTTATGCTCTACCGCGGCAATGTCCAAATGATTATAGAAGAACAGGCGATGGATCAGACATGGCTTCTTACTCTACAAATCGCTTTATCTTCGGCAGCCCCTGTTGCTGCTGCTGCTGCTGTTACTGTTCGCCGAAACGCTGCTTACTTTGCGTAGCATTTGAACGCGGGGTAAGTATATGGCCCAAATGGGCGAAAAGAATCTCTTCCATTGTCATATTTCAGGGCTAATAACAATCGCTATAAAGGGCAAAGCATAGCACTAATTAGGCAGAGAGGTTACGCTAAAACGGTTAATTGAAATCTCCTACTTTCATCGGATGGAATCAGGTAAAACGTGGTTGAAAATATCAATTGGTAGATAACACATAATTATGCCTTTTTTTTTTTTTGTTTATATTCCGTTGTTATTTAATGTTCATGTTTAGCGAACATTCGCCATGGAGTCATTGCCTAAATGTTGTCCTGAACTGCCGATTGGCTGATTTCCAGCGCGTAACAAAAGTGTTTAAGTGGTATATGCTCGGGTTTGAACCTCTCACGTGCCCCTCAAATTTAGTGTACGAATCCTGTACTCACTACGCCATGATCGAATAGTAACTATTGTCAGTCAATTTTAACGTTTGATTTATGCGTTAAGTTTTAGTGAAACACGTTGGGTTGGTATTTTGAAATTCGTCGCGTCAGTTCCTACTAGAACTAAACTCGATTAGTGTAGGCATTTTTTTCCGCATTAATTAGCATTAAATAGCCAGCTTGGAGCCAAAACTCTATACGTAGTACAGCTACTGATTCCGACGGGATTTACTCTCTCTAGACACAATTTCACATAATTGAAGTTGATGTCAAAAAAAGTAAGATTTGCTCTTCACTGACGTACCCTTCTACCGCCAAGGGTTTTAGTTAGGTGGCGAACAGACTGAGTCGATTTTGTTGGCTTCTTATTTTGTTTGGGGACTTACCAGATTTGGTCTGCTTCACTAAGCTTCGATGGGTATAGGTCTACAGGACCAACCGGTACTCCTTCGTTCTTTCCCCATATATAGCACGTGAAGCCAATTAGGATGAACGGGTCCTAACAAGAAAAGGGCCAAAGTTTATGTTAACCCTATCGGCTGGCCCATCCGTCATGTCGAATTGGAACATTTCTGCACTCGGGATGCACTCGTCACTAGACATACTCAAGCCTATGAACGAGACAGGCTGCAAAAGCCGAACCCTTAACAACCACGTTAAAAATAACGAATTAAACAACGGCACCTCGAAAAGTCCATTAAACTAAATGGGATACTTTTATTCGTTATTTCTAGTAGTCTAAAAAGGGTATCTATAGAATTGTTTTTTGTCCGTATGATTCATTGCTAGAGTGGAAAATATTACATTGAAAAATACACTACACATTCTCTGTTGTTTATGTGACGTACTTAAAAGGTCTACAAACTTTAATAAAAGCATGGAGCGATAGAACCACACGCTCTTTCGCACAAAAACACGCCGTTATTCTAACAAATCTATTGAAACCTTTTCTACAACTGCGGGAAATATGTCGAAAGGAGCGTCGTTTCCAGAATAAAACGGCACAATGTGCTCATTGTTGAACTTCTTGCAAAATTGAAATCGGCTTAGTTCAGAATAACGTTCCAAGTAGATCCTCGTTATAAACGGCAGGTTGTCGTGGAGAAGCTGATATGAACGGATTGCCTATGTGCAAGCTTGACGATACAATGTCTGTTGTGGCTCAGCAACGAAACGAGGCGAGAGCGTTACTTTTAGCAGAGTACTTTGCCTGAATTGCTACAAAATCATTCCCGTAAGCTCTAGAAAATTGAATGTTTAGTCAAATAAACGGAAAAACCAACAAGTTTTGCCTGCTTTCGTGTTTATGAAAGGTAGAGTATTACGTCGTCTTGTATTCCCCCTGAAAAGAACTACAGAATAGATTGAGCGCTGTCAAGGGTAGACACAAGACATTTATTTCGATATTTATTACATCTTTACGAGCTTCCGTTTCAACAGGAGGAAGTAGATATTGAAGAGAGAGCAAGATCACGAGATAACAATACGCAGAGCCCGTGTAAACTAATTGGACGTAAAGCATAAATTCACATTCATTGCCTTTGTTGTTATTATTGTTATTGCTCGTATTGCATTAGAATATCTTGAAATAAATGGTCCTGTTGGAGCAAGGTCGCGCTTGATCGGCTTCATTGTAAATCATGCGATTGTTCCATAAAGTACAATTGTGAATCAAGAGCGAAAAGAATGTCGATGTTGTAAATCAAAGGCATAGAAACCTATTTTGGGGAACCCAGCAGTCTTTACGCTATCTGAACAGCAGCATAATAACCGGTGCAGTCATACTAAGCAACGGTCTGAAAGGCCTTAATAAGACCCAGCGAAGCCTACAAAGAAAATTAGGTTCTATCGAATTCAATATTAATTGCTAAACGTTGCCACTCTATTGTTCTGAACAATTTTCTCTGGCAAAAGTCAGCTTTGCCTCTCGTAAATCAAGCAAAACTGACATAAAAACCACATGTGAGTTAGCTATGGGTTCACTTATTTTCACATTCAACTAAGCGTCATCAATGTATTAGAGCCGTACATTGCAGATAAACCATTGAGTTGAATACTCTAGCGCTTTATTTTACAAACGGGACGCAAAGAGCGACAAGACGTGTCCTTACCGCAAACAGATACGTCGTCTGAAATATGATCAAACGCCACAACGTTTACCGCTTTCCTTAATCCAACAGCTATGTAGAAAGGTCATTTTGCTCAAGGTTGACGGAGCGAAATAGGCCACGACGATTGAGCTGCTGCCAAAGTCAATTTGAATACTTTGCATTCTGAAAAAATTTATTTATTTCTGTTATGCTCTCCCCTTTGCTCCCTTTGGCGCCTCTTGCACCCCCTCAGTCGTTTTAGCTTCCAAACGTGCCGTCTAGATGGCCAATTTAGGTGAAAAAATGGGTTTCGTCCTCCGCCGTTTTACGAATCAAATCGCTTCAATAAAGACGTTACGTTCTCGTCTGTTTTCTTTTAAGTGTTCATGTCTTTGAATTGTGGACCTTTCGGAACGGAACTCGCTTGGATAGATGATACGCAATTATACGCTGTCTATGTAGAACCTTTTCAGGAGTTCATATTTCTGAAGTTGTTCATCGAAGACCGAAAAAAAACCATGCACGATGTTCGATTCTCCTCTCATTACCTCGTTCTAGCGACAGCCTTAGGCACAAGTCCTACGAACAAAGCGTAGAAGAAACAATTTTAGTAGAAAATTGCTAAATTGAATATTATTTTGCCCGAAACATTGTATTGAATAATTTAAGTTGCTAGAATGGTAGCAACCGACAAGGCTTTATCGCGCACGGTGCCTTCTCTCGGGCCCGTTGTACTTAAGCAGATTATTTAAGGTTAAATTAAGCTTGTCCGCCACGAAACGCATGTTAGACTATTTGAAAAATGGCGTCGAAGCTCTACAGATGCTGAACGAGATGTTCAGCTTACTGAACCCGATGCATCAGAACTTACTAACGAAACAACTCTACTACTGACAAGTTTTAACAGGGCTACTTCAATTTCTTCGGTAAGATCTAGTTACGAG